CTCAATCTTTGCTCTATACGAGTTTGGTGAGCTTCAGATTCTTCACAGTTCAGTAAGCAACGAACCCTTCTCCTCTCCGGTCTCTCTCAAAACCGTGTCTTGATCTCAGAACTAAAATTCGCACGTTACCTGTTTGATTAAATGCCCAAATGAAAAGTTATTGGTAAACCCATTGTTTTTGTTGCTGTTGCAGACGCAAAATTAATAGGAATAAAGAGCTATGGAAGCAGATATCCCACTTCTGAGCCCATACAAGATGGGCCACTTTGATCTCTCTCACAGGTATAGCTTCTTGAGAGATACTTGAACTTTGTTTAAATTGGATTAAAAAAGATAGAAATTTATCATCAGTTCATGATCCATTAACTTTTATGGCCGGGTGGTGGATATGAGTACCTAAATTCTTTCTGGCAGTCAGTTTTAAACCTTCAGCTCTTTTATCGAAAGTTTGACGCAACTCTTTTTCCCACTTAAACCCTAAAAAGCCTAAGCGCCACTTTGCCGCTTCACTCCGCTTTTTGCTTTCCACAACCTTGATATGATATTTAGTACACTGGTATGACTATTCAAGCATTCCTGGTTGGATTTGAATAGATGTGAGGAAAGTTAATATGTCACTCAGTATCTTAGGTTCATCATCGATCCATATGAGTGTTGGCGATAGCTTGCTCTCTGCAGTCCATACGTGGACCATAACAGATTCCACAAATTTCAAACTAATACCAGACCAGGGAGCACTTTATGTGAATTTATGGCAAGCACATTGACACTTATATGTAGCCACTATGGTGCTGTAACTTACAATTTTTGTTACCTGCAGGATAGTTTTGGCACCATTAACGCGGAGGAGATCCTACGGGAACATTCCCCAACCACATGCCGTTCTCTACTACTCGCAGAGAACTACAAAAGGAGGCCTTTTGATATCTGAAGGTGCTTCCATCTCCCCAACCGGTATAGGGTATGATCATAATCCTACAGTTTCTCATCTCATGTTATACTTTTATTTGTATATTCTATGCTAAAGTAAGAGGTGTCACGAATATGTTTCCTGCTCATAATCCTCATCTTGATCTTATTTGCTATAGTTGATATCTTTGCTACAAGTCACTGAACTCTGAATTGCAAAGCCCCAGCCTAAGCACTATTACAATATGATTTCTTATATTTATGAAATTTGATGAGGATGCAATAATTACAATTCTCTTATTTTTCTTAGATATAAAAATGTACCTGGCATCTGGACAAAAGATCAAGTTGAAGCGTGGAAACCTATTGTGAGTGCTGTACATGAGAAAGGCGGTATTTTCTTCTGCCAGCTTATTCATATGGGAAGGCTCTCAAACTATGGTACATAATCAATTCCTTTTACTTCCGTTGATTTCGTTCGTTCATAAGGGGAAGCTATTAGTTTGAATCAGCAAATTATTACGCCATGTTTCTGTTGCTGATATTTCAAGTTGATTGTGAGCTTCAGATTTGTAGGAAGATTTGTTGGTTACACCTAGTTTGCTGTTGGACTGATTGTCTCGTGCATTATCCATCTCCTTTAATTTTCTCAGATTTTAAAACTTCTGGTAATCAAAAGTTTATCTGCCATACTAACCAGAGATAACATATAACATTCAATCTGTAAAATATATTTTCATACGCACATCTTTGTCTTTTTATTTACCACTTCTGAGGGGTGAAAACTTTACATTTTATAAAGGATCAGTTGTGTTGTCCCCTACCACCGAAAGTGTTGCAATAACTTTTGGAAGCACAGTGAGCATAAGTTTTGTTCAAACTCCTCCATAGGATACATTATTAATTTGTGATGAAGTAACTAGAAATGTATTGAGCCCGGGGATATCTATATATTTTTCTGTCTGATCTATGTTTAGTGTGAATATTGCTAAACATTTTGCACTGAACTAAACAAAAATTGCTAAACATCTTGCACTGAATCTTTTATGTTTAGATTTTCAACCCAATGGGGAAGCACCTATCTCCAGTACGGATAAGGCAGCAGCTCCAGAAACTCCAGAAGATCATTTTTCTCCTCCTCGGCGATTAAGGGCAGATGAAATTCCTCTACTGACTGAGGATTTCAGAATCGCCTCAAGGAACGCTATTGAAGCAGGTAAGAAATACTATACCAAATCCAAGAATTATATTTTGGTTCATGTTGAATAAGTAATCTAATCATCAATCGTAAGAATTTATGCTACACATATTGATCTGTAATTGAGTCCCTCATAGTACTAGATGATTAATTAAAAAGCAAGCTAACCAACCTTCTTATTGTTGAGGACCACAGACATACTCAGATATTGTAAAATGTCAAAAACAATCTTTCTAACTTCTATCTTAATCTATTCTCCACAGGTTTCGATGGCGTAGAGATTCTTGCAGGCTATGGACAGCTTATCGATCAGTTCATCAAAGACAGTATCAATGATCGAATTGATGAGTACGGTGGAAGCCTCTCAAACCGCTGTCGCTTTGCACTAGAAGTCATTCAAACCGTATCAAATGAAATTGGACCCAATAGAGTTGGCGTTAGGCTCTCACCCTTCGATGAAAATCCAGGGACCAATGACTCCAACCCAGATGCTCTAGC